ATGCCAGACTGAGTCCCAGAAAGTGGTGGCTGTCTGTCTGGCTTCATTTAAATTACCAAAGAGCAGATCTAGGTCTTGAGAAACAGGAGTGGGGTACCTCAAGAGCTAAGCACTTCCCAGTTCCTTTCACTGATTGGTGCCAGTGGGAAAAGGTCTGACTCGGGCATTGCCTCGTATCACAGCAGCAGCACGAAGAACAGAGCCAAAGGACAAAGGCACACACAGGGACTGTCAGGGCCAGTGACACAGGTCCTTCTGATAATGAGAGAAAGGCTTTGGCACGGGTGCTTTCTGCAGGAGTAACCCTTTCCATACACAGTGTTGATGGTTTGGGATATCCTGAAAACAGCAAAGGAACCATTTCAAACCTATGAAAAACTGGCTTAAAGGTAGGTCAGGCCTGCCAAAGTTCATTCATCCAAGTTTGTGCTTCATATGGACAATGCTTCATATGCACTAACACCTCCCTTTGTCTTGAACCAGGAACTGTTTAACAAGTCTAATATGAATGTTTGTGTAGAAAATGTACTGAGAAAAGAGGCAAATGAAAAAGATATGCTTGCCAAAGAATTCCAATGCAAGCATCTGGGATTTTTCTGGGTTTTTTTGGTATTTTTTTTAAAGATGGCAAAAGAAACCAGCTACTAAAACTTATCATGTTCTAAATATTATGACAAGCCTGTATTTTCTTGTGAAGACACTTCTAATTTGACTGACTAAGGGAGCAGCATTGAAAGTCTTCTGTAAAGAAACAGCTAGACTCAGAAATAAGGAGTTGAATTTAGAAAACTACCAGTTTCATTAATGATAATACCCATATAATAAAATTGGTAGGAAGTGTCAAAACAATTCACAGATTCAGAGCATGTTTTTGCTTGCACATTTACTGAGCTTCATGCTTATGTATGTACCAAAAACATTTATACTTTATATAATAATTATATAATTATATGACAAGTGACTTAAATCAATGTTAACCTTACATCAGTGACATTCACTAGTTTATTGATGTTTCAAAGCAATGCAGTGAGGAAAATGATTGCTTATTTTAACTTTCAGTAATTCAATATAGTAGCTTTGCTACACAAAATTTTCAAGCATTAGCCTATATAGTGTATTTTTGAAATCACATATCATGGCTTCTATTTTATTGTACAAAATAGTACACAGATAATTTCTTACAGCAGCATCACTTGAGATGACATACAGAATCATAGATAAAAAAACCCCACTGTGCATGTTTCATAACATAAATTAAGTTAATTACTCAGACTTGTCATTTTCTACAAAGCAAATCACCCACTAGACTGAACAGTGACAAATTTAACTGGAAATTGATACTGAACACGTGTTACTGGAAGATTAATGTAGAGAAATCTCACATACTTATCAGTAGTGGAGAATACTATTGAGAGAACCTTTCTAAGAAGTGGAGTTTTGATGCACATCTTTCATTAAACATCCAAAAATAATCTATAATTCAGTCTTTTTATTCATTAAAATTAAAGATGGCTACATCATCTCTGAAGAAAGTACTAAAGAGAGGGATCATTACAGTGGAGACCAGCAAATGCTAAATGAGCATGTAATAAGCTCTTATATTTTGTATATATATTGTTTTGTGCTAGCAATTGTTGATCCAGAAGCACAAACAAAAATGGACTACTGAAAGTACCTCTTTCTTCTATACACTGAAAGGTAAAGCTTACAAAGAAAAATATTTTTTTGCTGACTGCTGTGCTGAGAGTTGCTTGCTGATAAAATCTGGAGCACAGAGTGATGCATCGGTATAATACACCACTGGAAAGATGAATATTTTGTTTAAAAATTACCTAATGCAAAGCAATCAGAAAGCAGAAGTAACATTTAGAAGGAATCACCATCTTTCAGTGTGAACACAGAAAATCTGAACTGAGGAGCTGAAGAGTGCTGTGGTCATACTTGTCAAACTGACTGATTTTGGCTCAGCAATGGTGCACACTTCAGTTTGTTTTTCTTAGTCATCCCTAACTATGAGGCAGAAGCCCTAGGATTGCAAAAAGGATCCTGTGTACTGTGCACAGGACAAGCAATTACATGCACAGATTCACACTTGATACAACTATTCCATCAGTATTTATTGTCTAGATGTATTCTGTTATCCTGATTATAAACTGATAACCTCATAAATGTTACAGATCTAATTTTCTTAATATGCTATTGTATTCTTGACAGAGTAGTTTTGGTTTCATTAATATACGGAAAAACTTATTTAAGCATGGACCCATTAACAACTTTTTTCTGCTAACCATTTCTCCAAACAAGCTGAAAAAAAATGTTGCAATTAACTAAAATGTTCTACCACATTTCAGTATAGATATCTACCAACTACATTTGTAATGGTGTGTGACTTTTGGCTATATGTTGTCTTTTTTTACAGGATGAGAATATAATGCGATCCATGCAGCTCTTTGAAAATGTGATTTAATGAAGACACTAGGTCTACAACTAATGGACAAATACGAGCTATTCTGCAACATTATCTAAAAAATGGATTTCCCACTTTATCATAAATAAAGTTACTCAGCTTTACACTGAGACATGTATTATGCAAGTAAATTTTTTATTATAAACCCTTCCCAACAAAAAACCCTTTCTACATTATATAATCTAGCACTTCCACAGTGGCTATTTAGTTAATAGGACTGTACTGAAAAATCAGGTTATTACTACAAACTCAAACAAAGTACAGCTGACATTATGCACCTTTATTATCATTCCAACCCCTAGTTAAAATAGATAAAATCACATGGAGATTAAATAAATATTCTTAGTTTTGCTACTCATTTGTACTGGACTAAGCTCCAGGTGTTACAGCATACTCCTTAAATCTCTAGCTTCTAATTTATACAGAGGCATTACAATTTATTTTCTTCTCATATTTTCTACAGTGTAGTCTTCATTTTTTAATAATATTTTGATTTAAATATTTTGAGTTAAAATGCTATAATAAATGTGCAATGCACACCTTGCTATAATTGCCTTCCAACTTCGACTTTTCTCTTCAGAAAAAAGCCCCCAGAACCCAAACATAACTAAGCAGGTAACTTGAGAGCAAGAACTGTTATAAAACAAAACAAAACAAACAAACAAGTTGCTTATTCCTTAAAAAGTATGAGTAAACTTCTCTCAATCTTACCTAATAAGTCTGCACTTAATTTATCATGACATATCAGAAGTCCTACATCTGTATTTTTAATTCTTCTTGGATGTGTATGCTTAAAATTAAGGATCTTCTAACTTCCAATTTTTCATGAAGAAACTGTAACTGGATCCTAATACTGCTTTCCTAAATATGTGTCTTTCTGCCTTTAATGAAGAAAAAGGCATGAACTTCTGAAAACTGCCATCCCACTTTAGTGCTGAGAATGAGCATCACTACATAGTAACCTCTACTAATAATGACTGCTAGAGGCTAACATTTATTTCATCTTTTTGTAATACCTTTAACTATGAGACAGAGCCAGGAAAACAATGAAAACTTTCGCTATATATCATCTATATGTGATAAATGCTTTACATTTTTTAACATCATTTCTTCATTAAGATTGGAGCTACTTAATTCTGAACCTAGAAAGATTATTCTAAGAAAGTATGCATATAAAATATAACACTGCCCCTCCATCCATGTAATTTTTAAAAAATATTGTCCACAGAGTCTATGCCAATATTTCAAAATAGGTGAAATGCTATCAGAGATAGGCCAACCTTCATTGTGACATTGCTGCAGAAAGTGTGAAAGGGCATTAATGAAGAAGAAGGAAGGTTACAAGAATTATTTTGTAAAAATAAATCAGGTATCTATTCTGGTGTAGAGATGGGATGTTAGAGGCATGTTGAAGGCTGCTCTGCTATCACCAGTGTAGAATAAGAGTAGTACAATACATGTACACCTGAAATCTGCTGTAGCGTGTTTGTGTAAACTAAATGTGCACATTTTGTAATTAAAAAAAAAAAAGAAAAAAAAATAAAGTAAACATAAAGAAAAAAGGACCATGATCAATTTTTTGAGTTGTTAAATACCTGCTGGCAAAAATGCTTATTGAAGAAATATGGGTTTTTTTTAAGCATAAATACATTTATCTTGACTTAGCACAGTTCTGATCTCAGCAGAGATTGGTCCTGGAGTGAACTTTAGTCAGACTGTGGTAATTTAAAAAAAACTTCTAAAATTGCTTTCACGTGACAGACTTTTATTAATACTCTATGCATCAGCATCTTCTTATGACAAAAACCCATCCTTTCCAACAACTTTAAATGCCAGAATTGAATATTCCCCAGGGAAAAACATTCTGTGCAAATTCTGTTACTTCAGTTAACTCTCCCTGACAGTGTACACAAATCAGTATTTATTACAAGAACCAATTAGGAATTATTTTGCAATCAAATTCAAATACATTAAAGGACAAATGCTGTACCCTCCAAAGCTTGACAGCCAGGTAAGCTGGCTTGTAGAATCTTCTTTTTGCCTTTAACTTATATTTTTCATAGCTTCCATGTTCAGAAGTTCACTAACTTGTCTGGACCCAAATTCACAAGCAAATCCCAAGCATATCTATAACATTACTGAACTCAATGCAGAGAGCACATACATTATGTGTGTAACTATGCCAAAGTTGCTTCCTCCCCCCAGCTCCCATTCAGTAGGCTCAAAGCTAACAGGAGCTAAATAGCTGAGCAAAGCCTCAGCTGTGGCTCTGTGCTCTTCACAGAGGCTGATGCCTCTACACTGTATTCTCCAGAGCCTCTGCAGGCTCTCAAAACAACATGCTGAAAATGCACTGAGCAAGTTCAGCCTTGGACCATATGCTGCCTGTTTACTGGGTTCAGCTTCACACCTTTAAAAGCTGACTCTGAAGCAGTCTGTGAGGGCTCACAGTTCTGTGTCTAACCTAAACGTATCCATCTGTGCTGTGTCACAAAATAAGTTATGTATTTCAAAAGCAGCTATACACATGTGATTTAGCACCAAGTTAGATTTTATTTAAGTAATTACAACCAAATTATTTTGCATCACAGAAATATATTAAATATATTAAGACTACAGATATAATAAAGTTGTAATTAAAAACTAAGTAAGAATCAATATTTATTTTTTTTTAATAATAGCACATTAATAGTGTCATTGTAAGCCAAATGCATATACAAATATACAAAGAGAAGTCTTCCATAATTACATATTCACAAACTGATAAGACTCCTGCTCTCCATCATACTAATGGAGGAATAATTAGTATTTTAAGAGAATATATTATACCCCAAATAAGTGTCAGTGATATTTACAGAGAGCTTCTTTCCAAACTTCACTTTACAGTATAAATCACTACAGATTCCTTGTTCAAGAGTAGATAGAACAATAGGTTGGAATTTTAGATTTGATGATCGCCACAGTTGCCTGTTGAAGTAAACAAAACAAATTTGAACTAAATATGGGGCACTAGCACTACATATGACAGTACTCATATAGTCTCTATAAATTGCATAATTCACAATTTTTACTTAGTTATCTTTGTTATTATCAAACAGTAGAAAGCTAAAAATTAATATTTGCTAAGAAATTTACTGTCAAAAGGACTGAAAATAATTAACTGAGAAAATGCACCATTGTGATAACTAATGCTGGAGAGCAAACATCCAAAGTATGGGACATGTAAACTCACAACTGAAATGGGGGACTAATATAAACATGAAATAATAAGGATTTTTATGTAGAGCAATGATGTTCTAGAAGGGATTTCCAACAAAAGTAAGAATCACATGCTTTATAATTAATTTAGAAAATAAATTTGATAAATCAGTTGGATGAATTATATAATATTGCTTGTCACCACAACTTAGTAGCTTGTTTCCAGGTTTTTTTGCTTTATCTTATTATGTTTTTTTTCAAAAGATATACAGAAAGACTTACAAAGCAGGTAAGACTACAAGAAATCAGGGGACTGACAGAAGAATCAGAGGTTAATGACTCACTGGATTAATTATATTATCTTGATCTAAATTTTCAGAACATTAAGACAAGCCATAATTTTCCTTTTCTTGTCTCACTTCATATAAATAAAGAACTTTTATCCTCCTTCACTTTTCGTGACATTTTTCAAGTCTGTAGTACAAACACTGCTACTGCTTTTAAATGAACATGAGCACACACACAAAAAAGAAGAGGCAACCACTGATTATTGGGGCACCTACTGGCTAAGGCACACAAGCTCAGTACTGCTAGGCCTGCCTGTATGGTCCCTGCTCCTCAAGTTATTCCTATTCTTTACAAATAACTATTAAATATAACATATACAACTGTTCATAGGGTCAAGAAAGCAAAATTTTCTCTTCCAGATGAGCATCTAAGTCAGTACTCCTCGTTTTTTCTCCTTTTCTCCTTTGTGCAGCACAGCATTTGTCAAAAGAATGTACAACAGAAGAAACCTCTGCCATCTATTACTTAAAGCATCTTTTTGATTTATAGCCATTGCAGATCCAAACTCTGGGTTAACCAGGGTGGGCTGGAATACAAGATTCCCCCAGGAAAAAGCATAAACCATTAGTGGGAACAGGCAGGCATCATCAATAATAGCAAAAAGTAATTTTTGCAAGAGTAAATCTTGTTGAGAAACATATTTAGTCCCAGGAAATGGAACACCAAGGATGAATCCCAGCTATACTGAAGCAAGAACATGGTAACAAAACCAGAGATGAAAGCTGTTCTGACAATGTATTCAAAAGTGTAGATTACTAAATAAACATCTGATCAACTCACCTTTCCACCACAGTGCTCCAACTTTTGTAAAGCAACAGTAACTTCTTCTCTATATTTCTTGTCCATTAATCTCTTTAAAAGCTATTGGAAAAGTAAAAAAGGTTTGCTGCACAATATAGTACAATATATGCAAAGAGGCAATAATTACCTATTTTGTTACTTTATTCCATCTTATCTTTGCAAAATTAAAACCACAAAGAAACATTACTTTATAACTTGTAACTGATGTCAAAGTATGGAACTGAAGAAAAGCAAATGGAATAAAAAGTTAAACTAAAGAGAAACTTAAATTCTAAGAACACTGATCTGTTAACCCACAAAAATATTTCTTTTTCTTTCACCAAACAAATTTGAAAGAAATATCCACCTTAAAAAAAAGTAATTCTTAAAGAATTGTCCACATGAAAAGTTAACTTTTTTCCTATGTGCATTGAAAGAGATTTCTTGCAGTAGAAATACTTAAAAAAAAAAAAAAAAAACTGCTGTAATTTATGTTCTGTATTGATTGTCAAAAGAAGTCCTTTTATTTTGCTGTAAAAGTGCAATTTGTAAGCAGGTTAAAAGCAACCATGAAAAGCCTGTCTGACAGAGGAAGGATGTCCTCAGAATAACTTGGCATAAAAATACTTCTCATGATCCCACTCAAAGCTTATTTACTGATAACGTCCTTGTGCAGAATTCCCATCTGAAAGGAATGAGAATGTTTGCTTCTGTTATATTGAAATGTTCGTGGTTTTGCTAAGATATTCAGACTTAAAATTAAAAACTCACTTTGCAATAATTTTTTCTCCAAAACAAAGCATCTGGATGTTTTCATAAATAGTAGAGAGAAGACTTCCATTATCCTTCACTTTGCATTAACAATAGTTTTTGAACCTTGCTAGAACTTTTTAAGTCACCACATTATAAAAAACCCAAACGACTCACACTGGGTACTGTATGAAATAATGCTTTTCATGGAACTGCCAAGTCCTCCATTGTATCTGTGCAGATAATATAGTAACATCTCAACAAGAATGCCAGGAAAATACAAATTTTATTACAGCATTAAAAACTTACATTTGTGAGTAGAAGTTTAAGATGATCATTAAGAGATGGGCCAACAACAGCACTCAATTGCACTAAAGCATCCAATCCCCTTCCAAATACTTCATCATCTGCATGGGCCTTCAGAAGGGGAAGAAAGAAAGAAAATCCTGTGAGTAAGATTCAGAAAAAGTAAATTTTTCTAAACTTCAATCTTTGCATTATGTATGTACATTATGGAGTAGTTTTAAACACTAAAACTACTGTGCAAATGCTAATTGCTATAATGATACAAGTTTAGAAATAGAGTACAATATGACCGAATATTAGTCTATAGAGGGCAAATTTAAAGCCAAGGCATATTTTTACAGTGGAAAACAAAAGCATCTATGAAATGTCCACACAACTCTTACATTTTTTCTGAGACAACAAAATGAATAATTTGCTCTTGCTGAAATAAAAAAAATGTGGCATGCAGAACAGCTTGCTACACTGATAATTTCAATATTCCACAGCATATTAGAAATAACCTTTCAAATGCTGGTATGTTGGAATTGAGACACACCATTTTAGTTAAAAATTGAATGAATTCTGGATAATTTCTATGTAATTCATAACAATAACTTTCTTTGTTGGAGAAACCGAGGTGCCAATGATTTTCTGCCTCAATTAATTTAGCCCTCTGCCAACTAAACCTGCCAGCAGTTATCAGGCTCCTATCTACTTCTGTGGCTCTTTGTCATCTTTATATTCTCCCACGGGAAGGTTCTATACTTAACTTCTGTAATTGGTTAGTTATGTTGCTTTTCCTTTAGAAGAGAAATAGACTCATACCAACTTATTAAACAACTGTTTTTCCTCTCTAGCATCCAGGCCCTGAACATTTTCTTTTTAATTAGAAATCATGGACTACTTGTCTAGTAGAAGATTTAACAAGACATAATACTAAAACAATGCAACAATAAAAATTATCAGAAGTGTAATATTAATTGGAGGAAGAGACAAGAATAATTTTTCTAATTTTGCCTTTAAGTTAAACCAAAGATAGTGATAACACACAATTCTGAACTTCTGTTACATCTCTGATTTGAGATCACAATTAATTTTCAAACTTCAAGCCATCTCTATTAAATCTGAACTGAAAGACAGCTAGATTAAGGGACAACTACTTAGTAAACCAGAAAGGGCTCTCAAAGACATTAAAAAGATCCAAAAGAGATAACCTTCAAAGCCAGTATCTCGCTTTATTTTCTGATGGTGTAGAAGAGTTAAAAACATTTTTTAAAAATAAGAATGTGACCTCAAACACTATAAATGTATTCTTCCTTTTTCCTCATTGACATATTCTGTAGATGATGCTGTGCAGGACTGGGAGTTGGACACAATGATCCTTGTGGGTCTCTTATTTTGTGATTCTCTTTTACCTTTGTAGCATGTTTTGAATTGTTACATGTAATAGATGAGTAGTTATTCCTACATATTCATTTTACTTCACCTCATTTTTATTTTTTGCGTGCTATTGCGTGGACATATAAAAAAGCCCACAGATATATGTATTTATTTCTGCTTATATTAAAACCTTTAAGAGAACAGTTTAATAAAATTTTCCCATAGCATCTGTCATATAGTTATACAAGGAGTTGCCCATCTTAATTTATATTTACAGACATATTTAGCTAATAAACAAAGGCAGGGTTAACAGCAGAAAGAGAAATCATTCCTACCCCCAAACCAAAAGCCCATGAGATAGATTTATTGCATTAATATTAACCATGTAGTTCCCACCAGTAGAAGAAGAAAAAAAAATCAAACCCATTAAAATCTCTGCATGAAGAGTAAGACATACCAATGCAGCCTTTAAGATTGGAATTAGACGAGGCAACAAGGGAATAGCTTTTTCAGCAGCACCATCAACTAGAAGTAATTCTTTAAAACCCTCCTTGGAAACAAAAGTATAAGGATGTTTTGTCTCTCTTAGTCCCTGTTGCAAATGTAAAACATGATTTTCTTAATACTGAGACTTCTCTTAAACAAAACCTCGTTTTAAAAGTTCCACACAGCAGCAAGACCATGTTTAGATTTTGTCAGATCAGTTCAAAACATAAGTACACTAACTCCACCATGTGGAGCCACTAGGTACAACCCTGCTCACAGAATATTCTAATTTATTTTTCGTTTAGAATATTGAATTTTAAAACTCACATTATAAATACTACCAATTCAATCAATATTTGTACCTCACTACCTTTAATCTAACAACCCAAGGTATTTTTTCAATGAGACCATGAACTAGAACAGGCCATATTTGAATAGGGGTTTTGTGCCCTGAAGGAAAAAAAGAATGGAAGGTGAACTATGGAAGGAAAGACACCCACACCACATACATCTCTATGCAACACTAAAAACTTGTAGATAGCACAAAGATACACATCTAGTGAAGGTCTGATTGGCAAAGATTTAAAGATTTAAAGCCATGTGTCTGAAGACTTTTTTCTAACAAAAAAGAAGTTTTATGTTACCTTAGAAATTGACAGTTTTGTTTAGTATTAAAAAAAAGAAAAAAAAAAGAAACAAAGGGATAAAATAAACAAAGAAAACAAAAAGGAAAAACAGGGGGAAAAAACGGAAAAAATAATAAAGAATGTATGCCATCTCAATATATGCACTTTATTCTACCTGCAACATTGGATTCAGCATTTCTTTAAACACTTGGAACATATTTGGTGATAAATGTCACAGATGATTCTGAGAAAACAGAAGCCTCAACACAGTGTATAGTATTTCTCTTCCACTTATTTACAGGATCCTATTTCCACTGTACTAATTCAGTCTACTGAGGAAAGCATTCTTATTTCATAAGGTAGGTGTTACATACAAAAATAAGCAAAATAATTTAGTTTACAAAAGAATCTGCAAAACTACAAATTTCATTCAACAGTTGGGCATCTGAGATGCGGTCTTGCATTTGATCAGTATCTTGAAGATTAAACAGCTTGACTTAGCTCTCCCAGAAAGCTCTAACTAAAGAACTACAAATAGCAATGTTCTTGACCATTTTCATTCATACAATATCCTCAAAAATATTTTTTTTTATATTTCTCTAGTAGCTGAGCCTAAACTAGCTAACTTAGATTATTAAAAAATGACATTTGCAAATAGGAAGTGATTGTGTGCTTAATGTTGCAGGAAATTGAGCTTACCTCTGCCAATGTTAAAAGAAGATCAAAGGGAACAGTTTCAGGAGGGCATTCCCACTGCAGTTTGTGCTTTACTGATCCATGCACTAACCTATATAAAGTTTTAACAAAATAACATATATACTACATAATTTATTGCTAACACTATTTGCTTTAAGTGTATCAGCAATTAGTTTGTTGTATTCTTACATTATATACACAATGCTCTCCTTAGTGCAATTATATGATCACAGAATCAACTAAGTTGGCAAAGATCTCTGGGATCATAGTGTCCAACTTGTGTATATCTATAATGGTTAACAGTGCAATTATACTAATTTCCCAGAATATGGCAGTTTTCAAAATTCTGCTCCTAATCACATAGAAATCAGAAAATAAATGTTATAAAAATTATAGCTGCCTCTCATGCCAACACAGAAGATACTCCTTTTCCAAAGTTACTTATTCTGATAAGTATATCAAGAATCCTCAAGTAGCAATGGGTAAGGGAAAGCAGTTGAAACTGAAGGGAGATCATATTGGAATTTACTATTTACTCCTACGATACAAATAAATGTATTAATGCTATGTATTAATGATTATTTTATACAATTATATACATTGTATACATGTACATCTTATTAATGATGGCTTATATTTTTGTAATTCTGCATCCATGTGACAAAACACCAGAATATTTATTGTCCAGACAAATATATAACTAAGTAACTTAAAATACCCTAAACTTATATTTCATGTGCCTGAAAACTACAGAATAGGAAATCAAATAACATGTTGTCGTACTACTAAGGCTGTGAAAGGTCTACTTATTAAGATGGCACTAATTTTATTATCTTTCTTAGTAGGGATAAGTAAATACAATTACCTGAAAATACCATTTGTGAAAGACGTTTAGGAAACCAAGTGTGCACATACTTAACTATTCTTTAAAAATGTGGTTTCAATATTAATACAGCATAAAAAAATGAACCACAATAAGACAATTTCAAAGACATGGGAAGTTGCTTTCTGCTCTGAAAAGAGTTAAGTATCAGAAACTTTTCCAGAATTTAATGGAATCAAATAACCTAACTAAAAGATGAAACACAAAGAAACATATTTCATAATATATTTAGTAAAAATAAGAAGCAAACCCAACACACCTGCACGGAATGCCACCTCTGGCATATGTAGCAGCAAATGCAGATGGTTGAGAATAAGCACGAAACTGTGAGGACAGAAAAAAAAAAGCATTATTTATTTATAATAGTAATGTTTTATAGCTATTATGAATATGTTAAAACAGACGTTTACCATAAAATGAACTTAATCATATGAGTCTAAATCAAATTTAAAGAAATGCAGCTATGCAGTGGAAAACATGTAAGTGATACACTTATGTGAAAACTGCTTTTAAGACTCATCGGTCTGTGGAGTTGTTAAAATGAATAAAGATGTACAATCAGTGGTCTCCTGATGGAATCACTTTATTTTTCTTTTTTTTTTTTTCTTCCAAATGCTAATATTTATGTCTTACAGGCTCTTTCCTAGGCAGAGCAAGGAGCTCCCACTTCCCTGAAGTTCTTGCTGTTATATTGGTAACATGCAGAAGGCAGTTTTACTGCAATTCCATCTTGATCTGGGTATAGACAAAAATATATGGTGGCAAGACGTGGGAGAAACCCCAAATACTGGGCAAAATGGTGGGAGGGCACTGCAAATGCACAGGGAGGTTCATACTGGGTGAGATTCTAGGAAGGACACACTGGAGAAGGAAACTAGGACTTTCATGCAAAGAAAAGCTGCACAAGTATTATTTTCGTAACATACATGCTTCTTATGCATATGAACTATTATTTATTAGCATGATCATTTAATGCTGCTTCCCAGATAATACACTTTATCAAAAAGCATTCAGAAGGAAATACCATGAAATCTCAATTTTCATCTTTTGTGTGTTTAAACCTATATTAAGATTAGTAGAATTGTGTTCACAGCTTAATTTTGGTCATTGTGCTACTTGCAAAGAGATTTCAAATAAAAAAGATGCCCACATTAAAGTATTCAGCCTCTATTTATTAGTAAAGTACCTCTGCATTTCATTCACTTTGTAAAAAGCTTGTGACATTACTAATTGCCAAATTATATGGCCCAGTGATGAACTACAATTCATGCATTCAATGTTAGTTCTTCAGGCATGGGACTTCCAGGAAATAAACAACTCCTTTCATTACTACTCTCCCAAGAATACAAATTTTTCCTGAAGGATTACATAGTCACAGTAACTGTGAGTTTCAAATAATGCTCACTAACAATTAATTTGCCAGATGTTATGAAGCCTTGAATACCTTCAATATGCCATGTGATTCTTGGTTTCATTGCATAACTGAAATAAGTTTGTCTAAAGCAGCAGGTGACAAAGCTTAGAAGTAAGAAAAAAACAACCCTTTTTTATGCTTAGCTCTAAATCTCTTTTTAGGACAATCATACATAAAAAAATAACAGTTACCATCCAAACCACAACTGTACCAAAATACATTTGTATAGAAACATAATAAACAATGTTATACGTTCAGGCATTTGAGCTTAGAAGATAAGGTATATATGATTAATAACAAAAGTTTAATTTCAGTTTAAAAAATAGTACCAGAAGAAGCATGTCCTGCATTCAATTTCATAAAGTAAGGAACACTCTTCAAACCACAGAGGGATTTTAACCAAACAAAACAACCACCATTTACACATACTGGATCAATAGTTTTAGGATTCAGCTTGGCACTAGGCTTTGGCTGTGATTCTGGAGAACGTGTCTTGCTTTTCTGGGCTGCAGACTTTGTTTTTATTTGGATGCCTGATGACATTCTTAGAACATTGCTTCCTACAAAAAAACAAAAAAAAAACCAAACCAAACCAAACAAACAAAAAAAAAAAAAACCCAAGAAACATTAAATAATTTTCATTCTTATATGACAGAATATAAAGGGTTAGAACCCCCAGGCCAAAAGACTGACATGAAAAAACAAACAAGTAAATATGAATAAGTGCACTGGGAAAGAGATGCTTATTCTAATATATCGGACACAATGTATGGGGCAATTGTAATAGTCCTGTCACTCCATATTTCAAAGGCACACATTTCCTAACCTGCTCCTCTTTACTTTTGTTCTTTGAGACCTGCAGCAAAAGTGAATTAGATACAGTCTGCTTTTAGGGTAGCCTACAAAAATATTATTAGCAATACAGGCCTCAGAAGAAGAGCCCAGAGTCAAATGGGTACAGTTACATCAGAAGAAAGCAACAATTTGAGGAAAGTCTAGGATGAAGGAATGAAGCAAGTACATTCCGGACACAAAACCCAAATCACAATCAAGAAGAGATGAGAACAGAAATGTGAGGCAGCCAAAAAAAAAAAAAAAAAAAAAAAAAAAAAAAAAAAAAAAAAAAAAAAAAAAAAAAAAAAAAAAAAAAAAAAAAAAAAAAAAAAAAAAAAAAGAATACAGAAAGTTAATTCCAATTCCACTAAGTACTTTTTAAAAAAGACTGCAAAAATAACTTTGTCTACATCATTTAATACTGATTTAAGTACACTTATCTTCTGTAAGTCAGTGTATCAGCTACACATCACTACAAATGTATGTAATTGGGTTGAAGTGTCCCTAATAAAAATAATATTTCTCTACTTACTTAACATAACAAGTCTGATATTATGATGAATAATATAAATTATTCCTGGGAGATTACAAGATTTCAAATATTAATAAAATTATAAATAGTGAAAACCCTGGTTTTGAATATTATAATGTTCAGTAATTTTTGCTGTGGTGTATTCTTCATGAAAAAAAAAAAATTAGTAAATAAGCCATTAGATTCTTATTGTTAAAAAGCAATTACACCATACAGAAATGAAAATAGGAAGCCACACACAGAAACAAACATTGCCTCAAGGATGAGTAGTGTGCTTGCTGTCGAGCCATCACCCTTGATGACACCTATTTTTGGTTTTTTTTAAATATGATTAAATGCCAAAGACTGAGATCAGGATGAATCAGAGACAGATTTGCCATGCTACTCTCTTGCCCTCAGCTTTATCAGCCACCTGCCCTAATCTCTGCCAGACTCTTGCACGTGCACTCCTTGTTTAGCTTGGCTATTCTAATTCTTCCCTCTGAAATCTTTAGGATTGCTTCTGTTTCTGGGAAGTGATAAGGTCCCAGCATATGTGTAGATAGGCTGTCTCTATGACTTGTGGAAAGAATTAAATGAAGCGCCCAATCTTACTGAATGCTGCGAAACAACATATAATAATGACTAGCAAATCAGCTAAAATACAAAGCAAAACTAAAATTGAAAGTTTAAATCAATACTTCTTTACTGATGATTTAATCACAACTAGTAATTCAAATATCAGTTCACCTACTGTACATTTTGTTTTCTCTTTCCTATCATTTCCAGAATGTGGCCTGTCTTCACTGAAAGTCTTTAACATAAATAATACACTACAATTAGTCAACTAAATCTCTTCAGAACTCACAGAAATTTACATGACACTTATGGGGACTATTCTTGTAACCAGAAGTCAAATGGAAAACATTAATATAGAAATAAATCTACTGATGTACTGATTTTGTATGTCCATTTATTATCCTAAAGTTCTAATCACATTAGCGTTAGAAGACTGATTTTTAACTGTCAGAAAATTAAGAAAAAATAGTTTCATACTATAAAAGTACCAGGTAAGTTCTTGACAGCATCAGATGTACCACAAAACATTGCTACCTGTGTCAGACTTTGAAATTTACAAATAATACAGTCAGCTTGCTAATACCTATATAAATATTTTTCTCAGAAAAGTATTTAGAAGTAATTGAGATGTTTTTTTCTCTCTTTTCCAAGTAGTGAAAATACATGCTAAGATACACTAGGTAGCACTGACCAGAAAAAGTACTTTTCACAAGGAGGTCTCACTGTTCAGAGATGAATGCTCTCGTGTAGCGAGGAGTTGGAAGGGTCACACGTTTTTGTAGAGAGATCAGACAGGTGAAGCACAGCCGTGAATCAAACAGGCGAGATTTGATACAGAAGTGACCCATCTACTGGCAGATGACAGGCTTCAAATAAAGGAGCGGCACTTTAAACAGAAATAGAAGCACTTTTAAGAGATATCTTTCAAAGCAGGAAAAGCGCAGCCGGGAGCTCGGGATCTAGAAATCGCTTAAGGCAGGCAGAATGGAAGTCAGTAGGATCTGAAAGGTGAGGCTGCTCCCTTACCCTGCTGAGTGCCGACTCTCCCGGAGTGCAGAGGCAGAAACACAAGAGCGGCTCCGAGCGCCGTCAGCGCCGAGAGGCTCAGGCAGAGAAAACCCGGCGAGTACCCGGCCCGGCCCTCCTCAGCCCCGCGGGACATCCAGGGACCCGCGGGAGCCGCCCCGCTGCCCTGGGTCCCGCTGCCTGGGCACACCGGGCTGCGGGCAGGGCCGGGCTGCTCCGGGCAGGGCCGGGCAGCTCCGGGCAGCTCCGGGCAGGGCCGGGCAGGGCCGGGCAGCTCCGGGCAGGGCCGGGCAGGGCCGGGCAGGGCCGGGCAGGGTCGGGCTGCGGGCTGCTCCGGGCAGGGTCGGGCAGGGCCGGGCAGCTCTGGGCAGGGCCGGGCAGGGTCGGGCAGGGCCGGGCTGCTCCGGGCAGGGCCGGGTCCCTGACAGTGCCGTCCCCGCTCCCCGCGGCGCCGCCGACGCTTCCTGCCGGTTGCCAGGGTAACTACGGGCCGCCGGCAGCCCAAATTTCCTCCGTTCTTGCTGCAGACGGAGCGACAAGGAGATTAGAAGATCTATTTTTTTTTTTTTTTCAGCCTACCTTGTGTGCTGTGATTAAATAAGAACGGTGACTTTTCAGATAACATCTCCACTCGGTTTTATCCACTTTTTAAATACCTTCCCAGGTATAGAATCCCCTCATACAACACCGAAAGTTCCACTGGAAATATAGCATCACATCTGAGCGTGGTAAATGAGCTTTTGGGTAAAAGGCTACTTTTTAACTTGACCATGAGAGTGCTTTTTTGCTTTCTTCAAGAAATGTGTATATTAATTCATGCACACACAAAAAAATCTTCAAGCAAAATGTTTCCTTGGTTTGCTTAAACTGGTTGGGATACAAACTTTCTACCATTACATTATTTCTCACTTCTCTCATTTCTACTGCAGAACTGAATGTGGATAAGTGAGATTATTCTCATGATTTTCCACAGGAAAAAAAATTGCACTGACACTGGTGAAAAGTAGTCATAGACTATTTGAAAAATACCATTGGTATTAGATTTTGGGCAATGAAGTCATTCATAATTGTTTCTATCCAACTTAAATACTTTATATGTGCCAATAATGGTGAGTCAAAAGTGAGGACATTTGCAGACTTAAAATAGGACTGCATAACTGAGTGCCATTGAAATGCATTAGTGCAAGAGACTATTTGGAAATACAAAAAGAAAATATCTATAAATAATATTGGAGAAGGGAAGATTTCTTTTTTTCCTAAGTGTTTTTAACTAAACTCAAGAGACATTATAGTACTTTAACAGAACTATTTTACCCTTCCTCAATACGGAAAGCAATAGAAAAAATGCCTGTCTTTTTATTCAAAAATTTTATGGACTGATAAATTATCTCAGAAAAAATCCAATATTGTAAAGCAGACCATTAAATCTTTGAAAATCACACTGTTATAAATGAAAATTTGTCCAGCCAAATTAATATAAAAAAATTAAAATATTTATTTTGCAATCAAATTTTATCTAGCCAGCCGCAAGGAAAGGACAGAGCCAAGCCCGGGGTCAGCCCTGGGTGTGCAACAAGGAGTCAGCCTCAGCAGAGGTTTTCCCCTATGCCCACACACCTCCATCCTGGCCCAAGCAGTTTTTATAGGGAAAATTCCACCCGAGGCCAAGATTTCAGCAATCAGTCTTTTCTTCTATTCAGAGTCCATAGGTTAATAAGATTTTCCTTTTTTGGTGATGAGGAGAAACAATTCAGTGTCCGGAGTAGGTGAATTCCTGATGAGATTTTATGGGAAGGTTGCATTCAGGGAAGGCTGCATTCACATGTATCTGTCTGAGGATTTCTGTGATATCCATCTTGGGCTGTTTACGCGATGATCAGCACCCAATGATCGACATCTAACAAGTATCTAATATTACATATTTTATACAAGAAATGGTGTGAATTATATTTACTATACATAACAACACTAAAAAATGCAAACCAGCATGATCCTTTCCAGGATGAGAAAACAAATCTGCCTTTTTTTTTGATCAAGGTTTATTTTTAGTTCAGTGTTTTGGGATCATTTTATCCATGGATCTGTAATGGCCGCTTTGTGAGTACAGAGCAGACCACAGCTATGGAAGAAGCAGTAGCACAACTCCTAAGTCAGTAGGAAGAATGAGCTGCAGTGCAGAATGAAGCAAAACCCCACAGTCGGCCCCGTGGAGTTGGCATCTCCCGCCGAGTTCACGGCGGCACAGAAACAACTGGGTTGTAAAAGCACAAGGAACACTCCAGTCTTTGTGCAAGAGAAGGGCTTAGTTCAGAGTCCAATCACTTTCCTGAAAAATGCAAACTAAGAGAGCGGCAGGGTCCTGCGGTGTGCACGGTACCACAGGAGTCCTGCCGTTCTTGGGCTGCTGAATGTGTGCCAAGGCTGCACCTAGTGCAGGCAGCCTGCTCTTCTGGGTGGGCTCGATCCTCCCACGTGGCAGTGTTATACATGGAAATTTGTCCAGCCAAATTAAAAGTGAAATAAAAAGAATTTTATTTATGATTAAAATCTATCTCGCCAGCCACAAGGAAAAAGGCAGTGCCAGGCCCGGGATCGGCGCTGGGGGAGCGACTGACAGGACGCTCACAGCAGAGGTTCCTCTGGACACCCACACCACCCTCTCGGATCCCGCGGTTCTTATAGGAAATATTCTGCCCGGGGCGAGGATTTCAGCCATCAGCCTATTCTTTCCATTCAGAGTTCCCCATATTCATAAAGTTCTTTTCTCTAGGCCAAGTCCAAACAGTCCAAGTCCAGGCGTGGACGATCTTGCTGATGAAGTTACAGGAACTGTGGCTTTCAGACGTACCAGCCGGGAGGTCTTCAGGGATTTCGATCTGCGTCCTTACCGGGATGATCAGCTTCCAGGGTCCCGGTATCAGTTCCTGGAACATCCCATCTCCGGGCAAGCCACATGTATTAGATTGTAAATGAGACATTGTTTGGCTAGGTGGAACCTGAATATGGGGGGGGTGGGTGGCTGCAGCATCGGTGTGTGTTTTTACATTAAACTAAGCATTTTATATAGTGAACCATATTTAATATAACATTTCAGAGGCACAAATTATAACCATTTATATCAGCAGAAATACAGACTAAAATGATCCTAAATTCCTGGAGCAGGATAGGATGAAACTCTATCCTTGTATATTTTTTTCCTAACTGGCATGATATTTTAAGAGTTAGGGAAAGCAAAGTGCTAAGGTGGAACACGCATTCAGTTCCTTCTGATTCCTTAAATGGTGTTCATTACACCATGTTCTTAAAATGGTGTTTATTACACTTGTCCTATCCATTTGCAGATCCCCTGCTCCTTAAGTAGCTTCTTCATTGTTGTAACTGGCCTTGGATTTTCTCTTTTAATACAGACATGGGGAGTATGGGTCGAAATACTTATAATAAAAAATATTTCTTTAAAATAAAATGCTTTCCATACTGCATCTTACAGTTTTTGATAGTTGTAATAGGAACTAATATGTGACATTTTAAACACACTTGGTGGATAGACAATTTAGAAGGAATAATACTGTATGATCACAGTATGGATCAACAAAACATGACAAATTATAGCATTTTTCTTCATCGTGATGATACCTGCTTGTAAAGTTAAATAGGGTATAATGACCCACTATTTATTACTGTATATTTGTGTAGCATTAGCTCAAATTATTATGTGTTTCTTCTTTATGCATTTTAAGGTTTTTTTAATTTAACTGCCATAAACCCTCATAAATTCTTGAAAAATAAGTAAAGACAAAAATATGAATAATTTTCAAAGAGTATTTATTATGAGAAGAAAGTTTTATGTTTGTGAGTGTGTTCAGTTGAGCATATAGAACATGAAAATGAAAGCTAATTCAGCACTGATTACTTACTTTTTCATAATAATACTCAACCAGTTTAAATAGAACCAATGATTAATTAATTATCTATAACTTCTGATAAAACCAATTTGCAATTTGACTTCTTTTTTCATTAGTCACAGCTAAATAGTTAATTACTGAGGGGGAGGAGAATTCACCAATGCCAAATGAATTCTGAGGCTCATGAAGTTAAAACTGAGGCTTACTGGAATATAGCAAATTGAAAGAACATCACATAAAGCAGTCACATGTTAGGTCTTTTTGTCTGAGCATATTTACACCTTTGTTAAGCTAATTAATTTGGCATGATTTAGACTTGGCATGTTGCCAGAGCCAGTTGAGAAATTGTGGGGAGAATATTTCTTGACAAGTGCAGGATTTTGAATGTGGAAGAAAGAGGGTTGATACTTTATTTTTTTGTCGTAATTTAATTAATTTGCATTCTCAATGTTTCCCTCTCTATTTGTAGCAGCTTTTTGGTTAGAAAATGAGTGGTTTATGCTGATTTGTTTGTTATATTTTTCTAAATACAAGAAAGAGATTAACAGCAGACTTAAAAATTAACTAATTTTACATCTTATGGTAGTCCTAAATATTCATGTAATAACACATAAACATCTATTTTCATTTGAGATTATTTTAGAAGCTAATAAACCAAGAGCAATTTTAACCACAGTTACAGGGCAACAACTTGCAACCTAGTAAGAGCAGTATAAGAAAAAAACCTGTCAATGTATATGGCAATTCCTTTCATTTCTTCATAAAATTTAGAAATTCTCTCTGGTCTCTCAAAAGTGCAAGTTTAAACTGAATTCTAAGTGTTTTACTTAGACAGTCTTCAAATATCATTCCACAAAGCTTTTATCCTGACTTAATCACTCTGCCCCTTTATAGATAGTCCTCTATAAAAGAGGAGTTACTTTACACTCTTTGGCAATAAATGTGAGCTACAGAAGAAATTGTAGACACCTAATTGTAGTTTTCAGGTTTGTCTGCAAAGATTGAGTGCTCCAGGCACTTTCATTGAGAAGCATTGCATCAGATGATTAGTTCAATGCCAGTCAAGCTGATGGACCTGTGAATCTGCCTTTTTATCTTCAGTGAAAATTGGTGTGAAACAGCGGCACTTCAGTTGAACAATTCTGGATAACAGCCCATTGATTCTACTGAATTGCTTACTCTTTTTCTGTAATACACCAGAAGTTATTTGATT